AATTGTCTCGTAGTGCCCAGGGATGTGGAGGTTAGGTGCATTAGCAGTGGTGAATGCAGGGTTACAGCAATAACATGTGGTACTGGGACCATGGTGGGGATCCTCTTCAGAGTGTTGTCTCAGACTCAGCAGTGGGCCTCTTTCTCCAGCACGGGGAATCCTCCAGGAAGAGGAGTCATCCACTCCACGCCTCCTCAGGATCTCACACAATTCACCAATGCTCGGGGATGTGTGGTTGTGACATTACTGTGCCAGTGAGTCAGCCAGCCAGGAGCCCAGGTTAGTGCACACTGTCAGGGGGAACAAGTGTTCGAACTGCACCAGCAACAGCAGGTGAAATCGGGTCAGAGCTGTGACAATTAAAGAGCTCGCCCTCCAGTGACCGTGTAACTCTTAGTCCCTCTCCAGCACCGATGGCCATTCTCACCTGCTGGGCGGTCTTGTTCTTGGCTTTCTCTTTCTTCTCCTTGCCCTCCTTGGAGGTCAGGTCCTTGGCAGCGTCTCCGCTCTGGTCAGGGGCTGGCAGGTAGGTCTGCTTATCGCTGTCCCAGTACAGGTACTGCTGCGTCTGTGCATTATAGTAGTACTACACATGAAAATATATACACAAAGAGAGAGAGCGCCATTAACCCGGGAGCCTTACACTTGCTCGGGTCACAATCACAATCTGACGGTACCAGGGGAGGGAGCGAACCAGGAGCATCTTACTTTGGGAGAGGGGTGTGTGCACGCGCAAGTGTGCACATGTGCGCGCGTGTTCCTCTGTTCTACCCGGTGCACAGAGGGGCTGGGATTGGCTTGTTTAATTGTAGATTGCCACCATGATCTGGCTGAGATATATTCAAGAAAGTGCCTTCGCTGATGCTCACTCCCACACTAACCCCACTCCCTCGTATCTCCCCTACATGGTCTCCTTTCTTCCATCAACTCCCCCACCATTAGAGTTTATCCATCTTCCCGCACATCTCTCCTATACCATCTCCTTCTCTCTTCCTTTCACCCCCTCTGTCCCGGTCCATTTATCTAACTTTCCCCACTCCCTCATGCCTCCCCTACACCGTCTCCTCCTCACTTCCTTTCCCCAGCTCCCCCATCACCCCCTGTATATTTATCCAGCTTGCCTCACTCCCTACTCCTCCCTCTCTTCCTGTCCCAGCTCCTCACCCCCGTGCTTTTATCCAGCTCCCTCCACACCAACTGCTCCCCACTTCCTGCGGCACACACACACAAGGACATTATGAAATCGGGGCAAGATAAAGGCCACATAGCCCCTTGATCCTGCTCAATAATTCAACACCATCCCACCTGATTCCCCGACAAAGCAAAGTTCTGTCTGTCCTGAATTCAATGATGCATCATCTATAGCCCAGAGAACGGCAAAGGCTTCCCCAACCTCAGTGAAGAGATTCCTCCCCACCTTGGACTGGATGCCTCCTGAAACTGCGCCCTGTGTTTTCGATTTCCCAGCTGGGGGGGAAGTGTGTGGTGGGAGAGAACGATCTCTCAGCCTCTGGCCATGTCTAAGCCCCTTCAGAGCCTGTGTCTTAATAGAATCCACTACTGTGATTCTCAATCCCAGTTCACACAGTCCTTCTTGTCCGTGCAATCAAGTCGCATTTGCCAGCATTTGGCCCATATCCCTCTAAACACTTCCTATTCATATAACCATCCAGATGCCTTTTAAATGTTGTAATTGTACCAGTGTCCACCACTTCCTCTAAGCAGCTCATTCTATACACGCACCACCCTCTGCGTGAAAAAGTTACCCCTCAGGTCCCTTTCCCCCTCTCACCTTAAACCTATGCCCCTCTAGTTTTGGATTCCCCAATCCTGGGGAAAAGACCTTGTCTATTCATCCTTTCCATGCCCCTCATGATTTTATAACATCTACAAGGTCACCCTGCAGCCTCTGACGCTCCAGGGAAAACAGCCCCAGCCTCTCCCTACAGCACAAACCGTCCAGTCCTGGTAACATCCTTGTAAATCTTTTCTGAACCCTTTCAATCAGGACAACTCTCTCACACTCAGGGTCAGACTAATGTAGGTTTGTTGTTATTTGGCCCATTTTTTCAGTGCCAGCTTCCCCAAAGAGCATCTCATCATTTGGGGCTATCCAGCCTCTGACCGTGAACCACATACATTGCTGCCTTTCAGATAACCCCTTGACAGCCTCGACTGAATCCCCACGCTTCCAGGGCAAGCATTCCAGGCACCAGCCACATGCTGCAAGAGAAAGTCGCCTCATGTCACTCTTTTGCTAGCTGCTTCCAATCTATGTCCCGCTCTGACTCTCAATCCTTCCACCGACGGTAACAGTTTCTCCCTCTCGGCTCCGCCCTAGTGCCACTCGATGGTTTTAAATACCACCAGAGCTCCCTCTAGACCTTCTCTTCTCTAAGGATAACAGTCCCAGCTTTTCCAAATTCTCCAGAGCCCCACGTCCCCGAAATCGTTCCCATGAATCTTTTCCACACCCTCTCCCCAAAAGCATTCACCCGCTTTCCCAGAGTACGGGGGCCCAGAACTGGACACAATTGTCCAGCTGTGACCAAATCATGATCTTTTATGAGCTCAACGTTAACTCCAAGTCCTTGCACTCAATGGCCATTTTGAAAAAGCCAAAAATGCAGCAGCTTTTATTTACTGTTCTCTCTACCTCTCCTGCCACCTTCAATGTTTTTCTTTCTTTATTCATTAATGGGATGAGGGTGTCGCTGGCCAGGCCAGCATTTATTGTCCCATCCCTAACTGCCCCAGAGGGCAGTTCAGAGTCAACCACATTGCTGTGGGTCTGGAGTCACATGTAGGCCAGACCAGGTAAAGGATGGCAGTTTCCTTCCCCCAGTGAACCAGATGGGTTTTTCTGACAATCAATTCACGGTCATCAATAGATTCTTAATTCCAGATATTTTTTATTGAATTCAAATTCCAACGTCTGCCCTGGTGGGATTCGAACCTGGGTCCCCAGAACGTTATCTGAGGGTTTCAGGATTAACAGTCCAGCGATAATACCACTAGGCCATCACCTACCCGTGGGTATGTGCACACGTAGCCTTAGGTCCCTCTACTCCTAGGAAACTACCCTTTATACTGTCTCTCTGCATTCAACTTACTGATTCATCTGATAGCCGCTACCCCCCAGCAACCCCTCTGTAGTCCTGTACTGTCTTCTATGGCAGCGTCTAGGCAAGTAACTGAAGGAGGTTTGAGGGTGGAAGAATGAAGAAAGGGTTGATCTGGGAGGGGGGGGGGGACACTGAATCCAAGGTTTGATGGGGCTGTCCCCGCCTGTGTCACACCCCCGCCATCACACCCCCAAGCCTCCCCCGGTGCGAAATGGGACCCGAGGCACGCGGTCTGGCTTTACCTGAGAGTTGGGATCGTAGTACAGGCCTGTCTGAGGGTCGTAGTAATAGCCCGACATCTCATCATACTGATAGGTGGAGACGTCTGGGACGGCTGTGGAGAGGAGAGATGGAGGGTCAGGGCGCTGTTAAGCTTTGGCTGTAGGTTTCTAGATTTGAACACCGTGGTCTCCAGTGACCCAGACGCTGAGGGGCACAGGACACAGAACACAAAGATGGTCTTTCTGTTCTCTTGCTGGACTTGACCACAGCTAAACACGTACGCCCTTCGTGATCATAGATGGGCAGAGATACAGCTCAGCAAACCCGGACGTGCCTAGTGATCGCCGAGACAGAGATTGGCTCAACATTACGATTTTGGACTCCATCTGGCGTTCGGGGGGAGGGGGTCCCCGTCACAAGACTGGCTGGCCCAGGCTCCCCTCCCGTTACCCCCACCATCCCAAGGGCCTGTACTCACGGTACTGGGTGTAGTCCTGCGTACCGGTGCTGGAGCTCGCAGACAGCTGTGTACTGGTGCTGGCTGCTGGAGCCTGGCCAGTGTTGAGCTGGGGCTCGGCCACGATCTCCACCTTCTGGGTCGCCGGGGGTCGTGAGATCTGCGGGGGCTCAAAAATTACAAACAAGTTGAGCTGGGAGGGATAGGACCCTCCTGCAGTGCCTGCTCCCTCGGCGCCGAACCCTCCCGCAGCGCCAAACCCTCCCGTAGCGCCCGCTCCCTTAGTCGGTCCTGACCATCTCGTCACCTGGGGCTCATACCACATTGATGTGGCACGTGACCATACCTGTGTGGTGCGGGTGCTGTCTGAAGGTGTGCTGGATGACTTCTGGTACAGCTGTGGAGCTGCTTGGGTTTGAATCGATTGCGGGAACGACTGTGGACTTGGAATGGGATCGACACCAGGAATACCCGGCTCAGATGACGCTTCTGTTGCTGCAAAAGTCAACGGAACACCATCAAACCAACCCCAGGACAGCACGGGGTTAGATACAGAGTAAAGCTTCCTCTACACTACATTTCGATGCAATGAAAGCGAAGCAATGGCAAAGTATTTCCAGGTCAGGGTGGTGTGTGACCTGGAAGCGAACTCAGAGATGCTCTGCATCTGCTTAGCCAGGAGTGTAAAGACTGGAAGAACACGATGACAAGCGAGCAAGGTATGCGCAATTAAATGGCACTTTGCTTTGGGGTGCGGGGGTGGGCGGTGGGTTAGGGTGGTGACTGCAACTGACCTGTCGTGGGTGGTGCCTCGTACGTAGTGGGCGGCATCGAGCGCCCAGTGCTCTTCTGCTGCTGTTCGGAGCTCCGCTGGTAATCCTGAGAATACTGGTTGCAGCCCTGCCCGAACACAAACAACCTGTTAGCATCAGGGCCCAGCACGGGAGGGTCAAACACCACGACACAACAGGGGAGCAGCGGTGGGAGCTCCAGGAGCCTGCCTAGACAAGTAGACTAACTGACCTGGGTGTACTGTTGCTGGTAGCCGTCATCGTGATGATGGTAGTACGGGTAATCTCCTCGTTGCCCATCCTGATTTAGCCACGCGCTCTGGTTATCGGAATCTGAACTCTGCAGAGGGCAGGAGGCAAAGGTCAGAGGGCAACAGCCTGGACAATCCAAACTCCTTTCCAGAGAAGGATGCGTCAGAAGTGTTTAATGGCATGGCCTCCTGCTACTATTGCTCATCTATTAATCTAGAGACCCAGGTTCAAATCCCGCAGTCGCAGATGGTGGAATTTAAACTCGGTTATTAAAAGTACTGGAATTAAAAGTCTCGTGGTGATCATGAAATCGCTGCCGATCATCGGGGAAGGAAATCCGCCATCCTTGCCGAGTGTAGGCTATACGTGACTCTCGATCCACAGCCAATGGGGCTGACTCGCAAATGCGTCTCTAGACAATTAGGGACGGGCAATAAATGCTGGCCTGGCCGGCGACGTCCACAAAAACAAAAACCATGGATTCAGCAGAGGAATCTTGCTGCAAGGCCTCCTCCTCTTTGGGACGAGGAGGGGGTGGGTGAGGGCGACTGTTGGAACCAGCATTCACGGAACCACATGCCGTTCCTGCTGTACCAGTCCCTATCATGTCCAACATCGTGTACTCCTTAGGCACAAGGAATCCCAGGCCGACTCTCACAGAGTCTCTGGGGAATCCAAAGCTTCTCGTGGTCCTGGCTCCAGGAGTCGAGAGGGTTGGTTCACGAGAGGTGTAAGATCTGTGGAATTCCCTGCCCAGTGAAGCAGTTGAAGCTACCCCATTGAACGTTTTAAGGCAGAAATAGGTAGATTTTTGAACAGTAAAGAAATTAATGGTTATAGTGAGCAGGGTTAAGTGGAGCTGAAAATGTTCAGCCACGATCTTACTGGACAATGCGGGGGGGAGGCTCGACCGGTCGGACGACCTCCTCCTGCTTCTATTTCTTATGTGCTTAGGTGTGGAGCTGCTGACCCGCACCACATCCCGAGATGTGGCCCAGGGTGCGACCTGGCTGCCAGCTGGAAGGGAAGTTGGGGAAGAGGGGTCCCACTCAGCCACACTTCAGGCCCTAGATTCAGCACTCTCTCGCCTCTCTCACACACACTGCTTTCTCTTTCTCTCTCACTCACCTGGTTGACTGCCCACTGTGCAGCAGCAATCGCTGTGCTGGCCACAGACGCAGCACTCGCCCGACTCCCATCAGTCAGCACCACGTCCCTGGAACAGGAGAAGGGGAGAGGGGAGGTGCAGAAAGAGGATTTCAAAGTGAGGGAACTCTCCACAGACAGGTGCCACTGACATCTCAGCCCCAGTTGAGCTCAGCAAAGCAGAGTAACTTTTAATCGGAAATTTTACTTCTCCCGCAGTTCTATAAATCCCCAGGATCATTGAATGCTAAGAGCCCCGAGCGTACAACTCATCAGCTCTGCACGTGCTAACCAAAGCGACTCATCGCCAAAACTGGCACGCACCAGTTCACAGTGAGGAGAGAGTACCCACAGGCAGCAGAATGTTGACTTAGCGTCAGCGCAAGATGCAGGATAGTCAGCCTTTCAGTTAAAACCTGCTCTGTACTCTCAGGTGGAGTTAAATGCTCTAACAGCCCACGCTGGAGACCAGCTAGTGGGCCTAACCATTTATCAGCTGAGAGTTCTGAGATGGTGAAAGAATCAATCGCAATACGTTTTAGTCACTTTGATACTGTGCCCCTGCCTGGGCAAAACAAAAACATACCTCTTGGTGCCTTTTGCGAACTCGACGTTAATGGTCTTGCCATCGATGTTGAGAGGAGGCTGCAGTGACTGCAGGATCTGAAGCAGTTGAGAGGCTTCCTTCAAATCAGACAAAAAGAAAGTCTCCCTGAATATAGCAACAAGCATGTACACGCCTGCCAGAGAAACACCTCATCGCTCTCCAGACTCAAAGTCACAGAATACCAGACCAGCTCGGAGAAAAATGGACTGTGGACAACTCTTCCCTAACACAGGGAGGGCTCCAATCTGTATCAAGCCCCATGCTGTCCCTGTCCTGGGAGCATGTGACAGGAGGAACAGTGTAGAGAGAACTTTACTCTGTATCTAACCCCGTGCTGTCCCTGTTCAGCGAGTGTATGATGGGGAACAGTGTAGACGAACCCCATCCTGTCCCTATCCTGAGGGTGCGTGATTCCAAACCAATGTGCCTGATACAGACCCACAATTTCATTGTGCAATACCAACAATGATCTGATGAGCTCAAATACCACATCGAAAAGTAAACAGTTATTTAACAATGAAGTGATCATGACTTACCACTATGGTTGAGAGCTGTATAAAGGCAAAACCTCTATTCAGTTGTGTCTGCTTATCTTTGATAAGCCGCACATTGGAGGGCGACAAAACTGCATACGGGGTCAACGCGTTAAGGATTACATCTAGTGTAGTATGTGGGTTCAAGTTCCGCAAAATAACAGCTGTCAGGGAAACAGAAAATGACACACCTCAGGTACCTCAATTAAAAATGTCTGATACACGCAGTTCAATACTATCCTGCAGACTTCTTATTACATCAATTCCAGACACAAAGTGCAGTGATGACAGGAAAAGATCGTCACTGAAGAGTTCCACACAGTCAACAGTGTCAGCCCCGTCCCCACCGGTACTGTACCCCAGTGTTATACAGCGACAGACCCATCCCCCACCGGTACTGTACCCCAGTGTTATACAGCGACAGACCCGTCCCCACCGGTGCTGTACCCCAGTGTTATACAGCGACAGACCCATCCCCCACCGCTGCTGTACCCCAGTGTTATACAGCGACAGACCCATCCCCCACCGGTGCTGTACCCCAGTGTTATACAGCGACAGACCCATCCCCCACCGCTGCTGTACCCCAGTGTTATACAGCGACAGACCCATCCCCCACCGGTGCTGTACCCCAGTGTTATACAGCGACAGACCCATCCCCCACCGGTACTGTACCCTAGTGTTATATAGTGACAGACCCGTCCCCCACCTGGTACCGTACCCCAGTGTTATACAGCGACAGACGTGGACAAATATGCCAGTCCAGTCAGGCTTCTCAGAGCAATCACACACTTACTGTCATTGGCATTCTCGTTGAAGTGCTGGTTGTGTACTGGGTGCTGCTGGTGGAACTGAGGCGGTTGGAATGGTTGCGGGAACTTGAGCAGTGGCTGTGGCCCGTCTGGGAGGGGCAGCTGTAGGTCCTTCCGGCCAGGCACCAGACGCACCTCCCCTTCTATGGATGGGAGAGGGAGAGGGTGTCACGTTAAAACAAACAGATGACATCCTGAGCACGGGAAAAGTACAGCGCCAATGACCTTCAGAGACTAATGGTGTAGTCGCTGCCTACCAGGAAGGGATGAAGGATATCAGCTCTCTCTCTCTCTATCCCAGGGATCACTAGACAGTGATCAGGAGCAGGAACCCTGGCTCATTTCCCCCAATCTCTCTCTATCTCTAACCTCGTGACTGGACATTGGCCCAGGGTGAGCATTATCTACCGTGCGGACGTAAATGACGAATGATTCTTCCTGTGTTTTTTTTCCCCGTAAGCAATCAGTAGCTCTCACCTGACTTGGGGACACCACACTTGAAGCATTTTTCTCTTCGTTTAAAATTCTGTACACCACACTGCAAAGCAAACACGAGACAGTTTAAAGGTGGGTGGGATTGACAGAGGCCCTCAATGTTCTTCACCACCTTGACAGTAAAATACTGCAAAGCACAAAGTGAGAACCATACAAACTGCCCCAAAAAGAAGCAGGGTGCTGAGAATGCATTCATCCCAACTGCACTTCATCAGAGACTTCAACTCTCACACTGCATCTCACAACACAGCAAAGCTGTCCACCATCAAACACTCCCAGGACAGGGACAGCACTGGGTTAGATACAGAGTAAAGCTCCCGCTACACTGTCCACCCATCAAACACGCCCAGGACAGGGACAGCACGGGATTAGATAGAGTAAAGCTCCCTCTACAGTGTCCCCCATCCAACACTCCCAGGACACGGACAGCACGGGTTAGATACAGAGAAAAGCTGCCTCCACACTGTCCCCCCTCAACATCAAACACTCCCAGGGACAGTATGGGATTAGACAGAGTAAAGCTCCTTCTCTACATTCCCACTCCCTCAGCGCTGACCCTCTGACCGTGCGGTGCTCCCTCAGCGCTGACCCTCCGACAACTGACCACAGCAAGACGCAGCAGGCCCTTACCTTGTTGCAGAGCCAATCCTCGTTGGCCTTGGGTTTGGGGTCACTGTAGTACATGGAGACCTGCTGACCATGAATAACGAGGGAGTGCTGCAAGAAACACAGGAGTGACACAATGAGTTCCTCGCTCAGAGTGAAGGCTCCCAACCTCATGCCTTATTGTGAAAACACCCTTCTGCATGGAGAGGAATGAACAACAACAAAAAAAAATAAACACAGAGAAGGTGACAGATCGGAGAACAAAATGGAACAAAACAAGAAAATAAAACAGCTGCAACCTTTCGACTGTGGAAGGAAGGGACCCGGCCCTGAGCCGACCAAATTCTCACACCTTCGACCGTAGCAACACAGCAGCATTGGAACACCTCATTCAGTGTGGAAGAGGGAATGGGAGGAAGGGCCCCGCCTCCTTGGAGAGGCAACAACCTGTTCTGCTGGAAACCAAGAGAGAGAGCGGCAGCTGCCTGCTTCAGCAGCGCTCAAATGGGACTCCAGACACAAGCACACACCGCAGCCACTTGCAAACACTGCCTTCTCCGCATCGCCGCCAACAAAAACCACGTGACGACGCAAGCCAACCAACCTGCCACCGACTGTCCTTCCTCAGCCGGAGGCCACAGCCAGCACCAAGAACGCACAACAGTGAAACTAACCAGGCGAGCCGGGGGAGGGGCACGGCGTGGCACGGAGTTGTGGTGGGGGTGGGGGGCCGGGTTCAGACTCCGACACCAATGATAGGAAAGGAAAGGGCCGGAGGCCAAGCCCCTGGGTCAGAAGCTGCAGACGCTCAGGGAAGGCCAGGACAGCCTCTGAGGAATCTCGCTCAGCCTCGTCTTCCTGCCCACGCTCCCCACCGCCCCCATCCACACCCGCCGCCCCCCACCCCCAACCCAGAGCTGTGACGCTCCCGAAATACAGAGGGGGGGGAAGGGGGATCTCTGTACACCCCGGCAAGGCAACGTGCCTCCTCCCCTTCACCCCAACCCCCTCAAAGCAGCTTCCAACCCGGAGATCCAGCCACAAGTCCGGAAGGGCCAGGGGTAACGGGATAGAGAGAGAGAGAGAGAGAGAGAGAGAGAAAGGAAAAGAGAGAAAAACGGAGAAGGGAGGAGCAAATATCGGACCGGTACCACGCTCTCTTTTAGCGCACAGGGTCCCTTTCGCTAGGAAACGAGTCACCGGAGGGCCGGTGCAGAACCAGTCACTGGCACACCGGGCCACAAACAAGGTGCCATCCGGGTACAGTCGCAGCAGGATTACTCTGGCCTCCTCTCCTCATCGACGTGACGCATGCATCTGGCCTAAGGTGCCCAACGGGCTATTCGACCACAGCGGGGAAACATCAGAGCTGAGCTCCATCGCCGTGGCGCCACATTCTTGTCTTTTCCCGGCAGGAGGCAGTCAGAACACCCAGGAGTGGCAAAACCAACGTAACAACGGCACCTCCCCCCCCACAAAGACTGTACCCAATGGAGCAGCAGGCTGGGAATCGAATCCCCCCCCCCTCACCCACCCTGCAGCAGAGCTGCACAGTTCTCCCCCGACACTGTGTCTGGGAGGCTTCCAGCTGGAGTCAGGGAGGTGGAGATAATCATGCTGCGCCTGCAGCCCTCTCAACATCACTTCCTAGAAAAGAGCTCACCTCTTAGCCACTGAAGCGCTCCTCCCTGCAAGATCACAGCAACCAACTAGCACAGAATGAAAACGCAACAGCACAACTTATCAAGTCTTTAGGTTTTAGGGAATGACCACTCACTGAGTCTGCAACTGGTTCAGTTGGTGTACGCACAAGATACAGGTACCCAGAGTGAGTTACAGACTAGAATCCAATCGAGGGGTTCAGATTGGTTTATATACAGAGTAACAGATACGCAGGAGTGAGATCCATACTGGAATCTAATCAAGGGCTTGGAAAGGTTTGCATATAGAGTAACATATCTGGAAGTGAATTACAGACTGGAATCTAATTGAAGGGTTCAGAGTGGAGGGATTAATGTCAGAATTTCCCAGATTCCAGATAGAAACATTAACCAACTGGGAGAACATGAATGGGAAAAGGGGCCTTCCGAGTGAATGGACATTCCCCTGCAACCCAACACAATCAATCCACAACGCCTTGCTGATCAGATCTTACCACATAGCTCGAAAAGTCACAGGGCAGAGACAGATCACCAGCAACAACAATATTCCCACTAACGCTTCATTTCTCTCAACACGAAACCAGGGAGCTCAAAGGGCCTCAGGTGAGCAACAGCAAAGGACAGCACCCACAAACTTCCATCACCCGGGACATTACATCCAGATATTGTATTGAACTTCCTCCAACAGCAACTGAAACAGATGGCAGGTGGGAGATCCCAGGCTGGGTCAGGCAGCATCATGTCCATTTCAGAAGTCACTGCAGAAGCTTCTGGGACAGAGATAAAGGACCCTGGCTCATTACTGACCCCAAGCCCCCAGTGATCAGGGGCAGGAACCCTGGCTGATTTCCCCTCTCTGACATCTTGAAGGACCTTGGGTGATGCTTGTTCCCAAGAGAAGGCTAACAGCCCAAATGGACAGCTCAGTGGGCTCACATTGAGGGAGTCTTACAAAGCATCTTCCCCCGCCTCACCAAGCTAACAGCTGCTGCGCCACTGAAGGCTCCTTCGCTCCCCATCCACAGCACCGACCAACTCACAGCTCCTTCAAGGAGAGGGCCTGTCCCTCCGCATCTGCCTTCAAGTACTCAGCCTGAGCCCACCACGAGGCTTCCACACTGAAGAAACCAAACTCCACCTCACTGCCAAGTCAACACCTCGACTCCGATAACACCAGGAAAGGGGACGTGGCCCTCACTTGTACCACTCACGGGCAACCGGTTCCATTGCCTCCACTGCCCAGGACAAGTATGTCAAGGCAACGCAGCCAGACTGTCACCCCTCTGTCCCACCCGCAAGATGTTCTGGCTCGATTTCCCCCAGCAAGATTGCTGTTGCTTTCCCTGCCCCGTAAATGCCCTTAAACAGGGCTGAACGGAAACGGGTCAGTTGCAAGTGCAATATGCCGCACCTCTCTGTTAACACTTGCCTGTGTTGTCCTGACGCTACCCTGAGGCAATGGAGGTGAGGGGGGTGGGGAAGGAGGGAAGGGTAGGTTGGGGGGATTAGAGAAAGACAAGGCCTGTCAGCAGGCAGCATCGTGATACCAGTTAGAATTCATCACTAACCCTCCACACTTGGTTTCAGCAACAGTTTCATTTCTCTGTGACTGCCACCCTCTCTCACACACGCGTGCGCGCACACACGCACACACACACGTTTGGTGAAAGTCCATCAAAGGCGCGGCTGGGGGAGAGGGGAGATGCGGAAGGCCTGCACTCATTGGCGAGCCTGTTCCGACCTCCTCCTCCTCACAGACCCCTGGCACCCTCATCAAGCTACACCAAGAGGGTACGCAAGGCAGCGGGGAGGGGATGTGGGGGGCACTTGGATGCCTCCTCCGCATCTCCCCCCACCCCACCTCAACTCCTCATGACTCAACGATTCACCCGGGGAGGGGTTGGAGGGATTGGAGGGATAAGGGGTGGTGAGTCAGGCAGACACCCAGTCACAGCAGTCCTGAATGGAATCGTGGGTGTCCCCCTGGGTACCCAGACACACACTCAGCGCTTGGGAAAAGACAGCAACTAAACCAGGCGTCAGTGGATGGGGGAAAGAGGTGTCAGGACCTGCTCAATTCCAAACAGCACGTTCTTTTGCTTATTTTCTCTCTCCGTTGAAAAAAAATCAAGACATAAAACAGAACCAAGCCTGCGCCAACGTGACCCACACTTTAAAAGTCATTCATCTTTTCTTTTTACAAAAAACAAGGTAGTTTCATCAGAAAATATACAGTTCCACCTGTGTTTCTTCTTTGGCAAATTATAATTCACTCGACATGATTAAAGACATGGATGCCTGATCTACACGGCCCTCCAGCACGGGGTGGGGTGGGGCAGCGGGCTGATGCAATGCTGTGCAGATTCCCGGGGGAGAGGATTGAGAATGGGGTGGGGTGGGGTGGGGGGGCATATATGTGTGTGTGTGCGTCGTGGGTTGTGTGCGTGTCGGGGGGGTTGGGGGGGGGGGGGGGGGGGCATATATGTGTGGCAGGGGTTTGAAAACAATGGGTTGCGATGTGACCCTCCGTGCCACCCCCATAACTCAGCAATGCTGGGGAAGGTTGCATCTCATCGAGTCTGACCACACTCCCACTGGCACCAACAACCCCCCACCCCACCCAACCATTTCCAGAGGTGGGAAAAACCCACCCAATCAGGCCCACAGCTGCGCAATCCCCAAACCTCGCCTGATCCCTGGAATGCGCTGCATCTGAATGGACGTTATGGTGGGGCCTAGGGTGGGAGGTGCAGGGGGAGCAAAGGGGCCGGTCTGTCCACTCCACAGCACCCACGTCTTTGGGATGAAGCGACGTGCACCCCACGATCTCGGCCGCGACGCTCCCAGCTTATCCCGTGCATGCTGAGCTGAAGAAGATCTGGGGAGCGGGCTGGTACTCGAAATGGCAAAGGGAAAGAGGTTGCTGGTTCTGGGAGAGCCAACTGGAAGCCATGGGGAATGCAACTTGGGCTGGTGGCCAGGTGCGATGTCTGGGGCGGTGCTGGTGGTTAGACAGGGGGGAACGTGCAATTTTGCAAGGGGTTCGGGTGGATTGGCAGAAGTCTCACAGCGGGAGAGAGAGAGAAAGAGAAAATGAGAGTGGGGCAAGAGGATGAACGCGGGGAAAAAGAATGACAGCAGGGAAGGGAATAAGAGTAGGGAACGGAATGAGAGCAGGTGAAGAGGGGGGACAGAGAGAGGGGTAGAGAGACAGGGAGGGAGGGGGCAGAGACTGAGAAGGTAGTGAGGGCCGGGCGCAGGAGTGGGGTGGTATAGGATGGAGGGGTGAAGAGGGGTGGGGGAGAGAGGGGGAGGCAGAAAAGGGGAGGTACGGGAGGGGGAAGGGGGAGGGATAAGGGAGAGAGTGAGTGAGGACCAAGGTAGGTAGAGGAAGCGGGAGGAGAGAGAGTGAGGGAGAGTGGTGGATGAGAGGGTTGGGAGATGGAGGGGGAAGACAGAGAGGCAAGAGAGAGAGGGTGGGGGATAGAGTAAGAAGGCAGAAATAGAGTGGGAGAGAGAGGGGGAGAAGAGAGGGCATGAGAGAGACAGACAGCAAGAGAGAGGAAAGACGAGGGAGTTGGAACTGAGGGAGTGCAAAGGAGATGATGGGAGGCGGGAGGTTTTGTGGGTGAACAAGCAGTTGGGGTGGTAACTGCAGTAAATGCAGCAAAGGGGGCAACTGGGTGCTCAGCGCCCTCAGCGAGCTGATATGGCCGTGTGAACCAGGCATTGGGGTCTCCCAACTAACAGAGATGGTACTTGTGTGTGAGAGTGTGTCTGTGTGTGTTCAAATGCAGCAGAGCAACCTGATTGGCTTCCATCCATCTGGTAGCGTCCTGCAAGTGATTAAACTCCACGAAGGCGAAACCACGGCTCTGACCTGGAGACAGCATTCAAATACAGACGGAGTGTGTTAGTTCATCACAACAAAGGAGCCTTTCCTCAGCATGCCTCAGAAACCCTGTTTGCACGGGCAAGTCTGACGTAGGGACGGGATTGGGGGAATAAAATGACGCTGACCGGCTCCAGGGCAGCCTGGATCCTTCGGACGGGCGTGTGAACTACTTCCGAAGCAGGGGAGACCACCCCCCACCTCCCCTCCTCTCCCCCACATCCCAGAGCCACCCAAGAGCTGGGAGGGAAGCAAAACGCCAGCCCCTGACGCAAGGATCCCCTCCAACAACCAGCTGAAACAAACACAGGATTCCCTGCTCAGTCCCAGTGCAGACTGCTACTGACCCACAAATCAAAGACAACAAAAAAAGGCCTCCTTCCTCAGCAGGACAACTGAAGCGCAAGCACACAACGGAGAGAAAAACCACTTCACTTCACCACCTCAGAGAACCATATACGGCACACACAACGGGAATGTCAATTTAGATTGTTGTGCAGACATGCACATCGACCAAGCCAGCCTTTGGCTGCTGACATCAGTTATAGAGGGACAGGCCATGGTGCCTTACTTACAGGCCAGCTTTGGACCTGACCTCTGAAAATAGCAAACAGCAAGATTGTGGATTCAGTCTTACCTGGCCACCCACACCGTTTGTACAATTTACACTGTACCCAGCTCCACCAATCCACTCAACAACAGACAACGTTCCTAACCTACACTGGCCAATACAGAAGTACGGGGATTATATCACTGGACAGTAATACAGGGTATGGGAGTGAGTGCGGGGGTGGGGGTGTTCTATCACTGAACAGTGATCCAGGGCATGGGAGAGCAGGGAATATATCACTGGACAGTGATCCAGGGTACAGCCGTGTGGGTGGGTGGTGTGGGGGGGGTGGTGGTTATATCACTGGACAGTGATCCAGTATATGGGAGAGTGGGGATTATATCACTGGACAGTGATCCAGGGTACGGGAGTGCAGGGATTATATCACTGGACAGTGATACAGGGTACGAGAGAGCGGGGGTTTATATCACTAGACAGTGATACGGGGTACGGGAGAGCAGCGTTGTATTACTGGACAGTGATACTGGGTGCGGGAGAGCGGCGTTGTATTACTGGACAGTGATACGGGGTGC